TGGTTTATGTTTCATTGGCATCTAACTGTACCTCATCTAAGGCTTACTGTGGCTCATTTATATACTAAATTTCTTGTGAGCATTAAAATAAGTAGCTCTCTGGCATTGTCATTTTGTAAAGGTAGCTCACCGGGAGAAAAAGGTTGGAGACCCCAGACATAGTATGTATAGTGCAAACGTTCACAAACAAAGCTCAGATCAACATTACTTGAAGTTACTAAAACAATAAGACCAGTCAAATCAAATAAAAGCAGACCATAAATCATCAGCAAATAAATCAAATCGGTTAAACAACTCACTTGAAGAGAATAAAAGTGAGTCTTAAAGGTGCACTTTTTGGTTGGGGGTCTGTCACCTGCTTGTTTCTGTGGATACGCCATCTACTTTACATTTATTCAATTACAAGTGGTTTTATAGCTCAAAATATACCTGGTAAAACAAGCCTTCTGACGGTCCACAGATCTGACCTCTAACTTGCTCAGGTTTGGTCTCCATGAAGATACTGTGAAACATTACAGACGAACCAATAAAATCTCAGAGAAAAGCATTTGATGATTTTTTTTTTTTTTTTTTTTACGATTATTTTTTTTTTTTTTTAGCTGCAATTCACAGATTGTTCATCCACAAACTTAGAGTTCAATGGTTAAATTAAATGAAGTACCATTAAAGCCAATCAATTATTGCACTTTATTACTGTATTAAAGCGTATTGTATGGGAGGTTTATAGCTAGTTATTGTCCTTGTTTCTATGGCAACTGCTTGATCCCAATGAATTTGTTAATATAGGCCATTATTGAATACCTGATTCTTGATCACCTATAGACAATGTTCCAGTTTGCTTGAAATGGGCCCATGACCTGATATTCACTGCAATCTACATAGTAACCTTACCTGCTTTCTAAGAACCAGCAACATAATACAATGATGTCACTGCCACGGCCTTCTCTGATTGGCCGAGAGCAGTGGAGCTGTCTGCCTCTGTTTGCAGTGGGTTTTCTCTCAATTACCCGGTTTGTGTTTCGCTTTAGGGCTTTGAGCACTTTGGACCACATGATCCAAACCGGAGCCAGTTTAAAGTATGACCAGGACTAAACCAGGATTAAAACCAGACTATAAGCACAATGGAATCAATGGATACAATAGAAGGATGGATGAATAGGTCCATAAACAATAACATTTATACTACCTCTATACTATATGCATTGTTAAAGGGCTCATATTACATCCTAAATCCTGCATATTTAGACTGATTTCTTGTCTCAAACACTCCACCTTGTGATGTCATGTGGTAATACCGGAAGTGCTTCAACTGTGTTTTTTAAACTCCATACACCTTCATTCGAATCATGTGGACGATTTCAGCACTGGGATTGCCAATCTCTGCTAATCAAAATGTAAATGGTAGCTGTCAACTTGAAAACTGCTGATTCATGACATCAAAAGTCTGAAGAGAGCATTAAGAGATTAGGAGATGTTGACAGACTAATAATGCAGGATAAGTCAAGCATGTCTGAAAGAAACCAAACCCAACTCCAGGTATGTTTCTGATGAGCTAACAGCATTATAACATTACTTAAAGCTCACACGAGTCAATTTTGGACCTTTGAACTGGACTAGTGTTTTATGTTGCAGGATTTAACCAGATCTAAATATCTGATAATCTGATATCGGGTTCAAAAGATTTAAATTAAGAACATTTTATTTTATTTGACTTGACAAGTAAAAATATCTATCAGTGGAATATGTGTGTTTTTAATTCAAGCAACACAAGATTTTGTTTCTTGTTTTAAGTACAAAAAGTCTTTCCATTGGAATATCATTTTACTTGTCAAGTGAAAGTTAAAGATAAAGCTTACTTAATTCAGTATTTCCACCAAGATAATAACATTATTATTCAGATTCTCTGAAACAGGTCGAACTCAGATCAGTCCAGATGAATAAAGACTTAATCAGATCTAAACCGGGTCTAAACCAGGTCTAAACTAGAACCAAACCAGGTCTAACCCAGGTCTAACCCAGGATTAACCCAGGTCTAACCCAGGTCTATATCAGGTCTAAACCAGGACCTAACCAAAACTATACCAGATCTAATCCAGGATAAATAAATAAAAAATAAAAAAAACAGATCCAGCCTAGGACCAAATCAGGACTAAATCAGCTCTAAACCTGAACTAAACTTAAATACAAGATCAAATCTAAACCAGTAACTAACCCTAACCCTGAACTGCTGTGGCCCATGTACTGAATCTCTGTTTGGAGATTGGAGGGCAGTTTAATCATTCTAAACAGTCAGGGGCAAGAAACAAAGGTCTTAGGTGGTATATCTAAACTGGGATTAAGCCAGGCCTAACCCAGCTCTAACCCAGGACCAAACCAAGACTAAACTAGATCTAAACTAGGGATAAACCAGGTCTAACCCGTGTCTAAACCAGATCAAAATCTGATATAAAAATCTAAATCCGGGCCTAATCATGTCTAAACTAGATCAAAATCAGGTCTACACCAGAACTGACCCAGGATAAGACCAGGTCCAAACCAGGTCCAAACCAGGTCCAAACCAGGTCCAAACCAGGTCCAAACCAGGACTAAACCAACTAAAAGTTTCTGTTTTTGGAGCCTGGAGGGCGGTTTAATCATTGTAAACCATAGGAGGAGAACGATGGAGGTAGTAGTTGATAGGTAGCTGTAGAGTAGGCCTTATTTTGATGACCCAAGACTAAACAAACACGAAACCAGGTCTCAGCTAGGTCTGAACCAGGTCTAAACTAGAACTAACCCAAGTGTAAACCAGAAACAAACCGATATTATACCATATTATAAACCAGATCTAAACCAGGAAAAAACAGGTCTAACTCAGGAAAAAAACAAGACTACATCAGATCTAGACCATGTCTAAACTAGGACTAAACCAAGACTAAACCAGGACTAAGTCAGGTCTAAACCAGGACTAAGTCAGGTCTAAACCAGGACTAAATCAGGTCTAAACCAGGACTTAGTCAGGTCTAAACCAGGACTAAGTCAGGTCTAACTCAGGTCAAAGGCTACGTTCAGACTGCAGGGCTTGATGCTCAATTCCGAAAAGAAAGAAGAAAGAAAGAAATTTTTTGTGAAATCTGATGTTTTTGCGAGGTCGTTCACATTTCCAATTACATGCGACTTGTCTGTGACTTCAGTGTGAACGGTAAACAGCCCGAAAGTGTCCCGCATGCGCACTGGAGGACACAATGACGTCAACCCCATGCGTCCATTCGCAGCGAGCGTGCTCTGTGTTTACGGAAGTTGTCCAAATATGGTCGCGAGCATTGAGCACCTGGCGATTTTACAGTTGCGGTTTCCGCCTGCTTCAGCGCAGAATAGTGACGTTTGTCGCTTGTTAATGACGTGTAGGTCAGGATGGATGCGCTTTGGCCGTTCACACTGAAGTCGCATGTCAAAAGATCGGATATGTATCGGATTCAGGAGCACATATCCAAGTGGCCTGGGTCGCATTTGAAAAAATCGGATCTGTGCCGTTCAGACTGTCATTAAAAGATCGGATACAGGTCACATAGAAGCCAAAAAATCGGATTTGGGTCACTTCAGGCTGCAGTCTGAACGCAGCCTAAGTCAGGTCTAAGTCAGGTCTAAGTCAGGTCTAAGTCAGGTCTAAGTCAGGTCTAAGTCAGGTCTAAGTCAGGTCTAAGTCAGGTCTAAACCAGGTCTAAACCAGGTCTAAACCAGGTCTAAACCAGATCTAAATCTGTGTCTGGTCTAACCCAGGACTAACTCATATCTAACCCAGGATAAAATTTTCTTGCTCAGGTTCAGCCCAGACCAAAATAGACCCAAACCAGAACTAGCCCAGGTATAAAGCCCGGCTGTTGGAGCCTGGAGGGCGGTTCAATCATTGTAAACAGTAGGGGGGGGAGAGTGAGGTAGTAGTTGGTAGGCAGCGGCAGAGTACTTTGATGCACTCCTGTTAATATGAAACATGAGGAAAATGCAGCTAATGGAAAAACCAACAGTGATTGAGGTCCTTAGCGGTTGAATGGGCACAAATTGTTTTTATGTCCTCTTTATTACGGTGCAGTTACGGGTTAAGGTTATCCCCAAAGCCTAATGTACCGCTTCTATTATAATGGCTGTTATTCTTCATGTGGTATTTTTAAGCAACCTCTGGTTCACCGCACCAATTCAGTGAAGTGTATTCATGTACTTTGGGTGTAAGAAACATAGGAAGTAAGAAGATCGAACTAATTAGTTTTGTGTTACTTGAAGCTTTGGCAATCTAAAAACTTTTGACCGTGTTTGCAAATGTGTGCTTTATGTCACCATGGCAACTTATGAACATTGCACCATAGAGATACATGTATAACATACCCAGTGCGATCGTATCATTCAGTAGCAATATCATTTTATCGTCAGTATTTATTGTGTGGACATTTTCTTTGAATTACTGGGACATTTTTTGTTCAATTACAGGTGGTTTTATTGCTCAAAATACCTAGAAAAACAAGCATTTTGATTGTGAACGGGGTCGCCTCTCCACAGATCTGACTTGTAACTTGTTCTGGCTTGGTCTTCATGAAGATGAAAAGGTTTAATACTATTCTGTGAAACATTCCAGGCAAAGAAATGACGTTACGAAAGTTACACAATGCACCTTTACGACGTTATTAAGTTATTGACTCAACTTAGTTATTACATTATTATTAATTACATTTAAACTTGAAATCTGAAATGGTCGGCGGTCATTTTTATTACATTAGCACTGTCAACAAAGTAAACAAAGAGTATAAATAGTTGAGTTATTTCACTTTTTTTCTTTACTACATAATTTCATATATTTAGCTTTGTATATGTAATTATTTCTCTATGTATATAAAATGTAAAAAGTAGTAAACAAAGAAAAAAAGATTGAATGAGAAGCCATGTCTAAACTGGTAATATGCTATAGGTCAATACTAAATACATCTTGTCTTTCTATTTATTTATTTATTTCTTCTGTATTTCTTTCGCAGCACCTTCATCATTGAGAAGCAGCCTCCACAGGTGTTGAAAACGCAGACCAAGTTTGCAGCCACAGTGCGCCTCCTGGTGGGCGGGAAGCTGAACGTGCACATGAACCCTCCGCAGGTCAAAGCCACCATCATCAGTGAACAACAAGCCAAGGCCCTGCTAAAGAACGAGAACACCAGGAAGTAAGTGGATACATATTGAATATATATGTACACCTGTCATGATCAATTTCTAGTCAGTGTTTAAGAAAGTACAATACAAGTTTTAAGTGTCTGTACTTCACTTAAACGTGCACTCTGTGTCTTTTCTGGTGGAGGGTTCGTCAAATGCTTCTCTCCTTCACAGTATGGTATTAACCCTTTCTATCTTCATAGAGACCAAATCAAACCAAGTTACAGGTCAGATCTGTGGCAATCCCGCTCACAGTCGGAATGCCTGTTTTTCTAGGTATTTTTGAGCTAAAAAAACCACCTGTAATTGAATAAATAAAAGTAAGATAGAGCTGTTTAATATCATACTGCGGAACATTCCAGACAGAGCGATGATGAATCTCCATAGAAACCAGCAGGTGACAGACCCCTAACCAAAAAGTAACACAGTGCACCTTTAAGATTATTGTGAAAGTGCTGTAAAATCATTTCAATATTATCGTTTATCATGATATTTTCAGATTGAGTATTGATACTTTGCAGTGACATCACACTGCGGGGGTTCTACATTTATCTATACCGCCACAATTGCTATGGCAACGGCTTGTAATTTTTGACGTGACATATTGTGAAACTTCCCCTGGTGGTTTGACCTGCTTGTCTCCATGGAGATAAAAATAGAGTTCTATAAGGTTCTACAATTAGACCGTATTTGACGACATTGTCTAGCCTTCCAGTTCCTCATGGTCATATCTGGAAATAAGAAAGAGTTTTCAAACATTTTACTTGGTTAAATAAAAGCTAAATAAAAAAAAACTAATTAAATAAAATGCCAGATTACTTTTAAGTAGTCCATTATTAGTCCATTATTATTATTCTGTATGGAGTTGAACTTCGAAGACCACTTTGGTTTTGGAAGTACATTTCTCATAAATTTTTTCCCCACAGACTTTTTTTTTATCATATCTTAAGACTTAAAAGGCGCTGTGCAAACTCATATGCATAACGCTGTAATTTTCAACTCAAAAGCACATTTAAGCAATAGGTAATTAATTGTATTTTGTATGTAACTGGACAGAACAGTATAATTTAATAATTCAGTTAGAGCAGTAATTAAAACCACTTCAGAGTTTCATTATAGCCAAACAAAATGCTCTTTGGCTGTCTCAACTTTTGTGTGTTTGTTTGTTTGTTTTTTTGCAATGTCCTAACCTTAACAGCATTATTTTGTGTCTAAAAAGGGAAAAGGGCAATCACAGTTGGCAATTATACAAACTAAAACTCAATGTGATTTTCTTATCATTGGTGTCCTCTTTGTTCCCAGTCAAAATGCTGTTTCATGTCCTCCTCATGTGACTATATACAGTCACTCTATGTTTTTGAAAGAAATGTCCAAACGTATGATCTACAAATGTTGAATTTTGTCATTATTAGCTCCACAAACTTTTTATACTAACAAAGAAGACATTTAACTTTGTACCAGTTTTTGTTTCATATTGATAGGCCCAGTAATTACAGAGATATTAACCATCAACCAAGTCAACAAATCTGCAACTTTTCTGGTGGAGGGTCCGTCGAAAGCTTTGTCCATGGAGATGTTATTATTTTGTCTGAAATGTTTCACAGTATGGTTTTAAATCTTTCTGTCTTCATGGAGGCTAAACCAGACCAAGTTACAGGTCAGATCTATGGAGAGGCTACCCTGCTCACAGTCAGAATGTTGTTTTTTTTACGTATTGTTGAGCTACAAAACCACCTGTAATTGAATACATGTAAGGTAGAGCTGTTTAATGTCATACTGTGGAACATTCCAGGCAGGACGCCCAACCAAAAAGTTACACCTTTAAACAGCACCTTCTGACCTGTTCTCCAGCTCAACGTTAAACTGTAGCCACACTAGAATATTGTGAACACAACCTGTTTTCTTTTGTCCCACAGTGAAAGCAGTGGGGAGATTCTCAACAATAACTGTGTGATGGAGTACCACCAGACGACGGGCACGCTCAGCGCCCACTTCAGGAACATGGTGAGTTCAAATGGGTGTGATTTTTCTAAGTAAAGTCAAAGGGCCCACCGGTATATTACTTTATTTTCTGATCTATGGTATAATGTTGTTTCCTTGTCACAAACATACCTGGAGTTTTGTTCTTTCATTCACACATGTTTAACACACAAATCATATTTAGGCCAAGTTCTTTTCTCAAATAGAAAGCACTCTGTTCCACCTTGTGGTGTTATATTATTTGGTTATACAGGAAGTGCTCCACTGTGTTTTTAAACTCCCTACACCTTCACTAGAATCATTTGGATGATTTCAGCTCTGGAACTAACAATGTCTACTGAACTTGTTCACTTGAAAACTATCCCTTCATGAATCCGTGTATCATTCGTTCATTAATTTTTCAAAATAAAACCAAAAATAAGAAAACAAAAAAACAACTATTTTCTTATTTTTTTTTTATTTTTATTTTTCATCAGTTCTGGTTCAGTCCTGGTTCAGTCCGAATGCGACACAAAAGGTTGGCCTCGCAGTTTCATGGAAGTCATGGAAATGGGAAATGGCTGTTATCCTTTTTTTTTTCCAATATTCAGTTCAGAAAATAGTTGTTTTTTTGCTTTGTTATTTTGATTTTATTTGACAAACAAATAAACGAATGATACATGGATTTTCATGACATCACAAGGTGAAACAGAGCATTTCGAGCTTTGAAGATGCAGACATTCTAATAATGAAGGCTCACTCAGACGTGTTAATAAACTAAAACACAAATCCAGATATGTTTTTGATGAGGTAACAGCATTATAACATGACTTAAAGCTCACGAGAGTCATGCTTGTGTAATATATGACCTTTAATGTCCCTTCATTTACACAGTGAACTGAATCCTGATTGCTAAATTAAATCAAATTATAATTGCAGAACTTCTCAGAAAATATATTATAAATGTTCTCAAATCATCCAGCCTTAAAGAACACATACTGTGCTTGAGCCTGCCGTACAGTTATGATCTATGACACCCGTGAATCATTGTGTTATAATTTGAATATTTTAAGTTGCAATATTTGTTTAAAACAACTTAATAAAATAAATGTGCACCAGTTTCCACACTGGAAAACTGTGGTACCCAGAGGGAGTTTATGTCGCTGAAAATGTCAAATCAAAGAGATGCTCAGCTGTCAGCACCTTTTATGGTTAGCTCTAGGTTAACTAACTATAAGACTATTATGTTTGTGAGCTTTAAGCCATGTTAGAATGCTGTTACCTCTTCAAAAACACACTTGGAGTTGTTTTGTTTCTTTTGAACATGTTTGAGTAATCCTTTAATATTAGCCTGTCTACATCTCCAAAGCTCAAAATGCTATGTTCCAATCTGTGATGTCATCAAGCTGTAGTTTTTAAGTTAAGTTAAGTTAAGCTCCTTTTACCTTTTGTTCAGTCTGAAATGAAGGCTGAAATCATCCAAATGATTCTAGTGAAGCTGTATGGAGTTTAAAAACACAGTGGAGCATTTCCCATATTAACATCATAGTGTTTTCTGTTTAAGAGAAAAACTCGAGCCTAAATCTACAAGACTTGTTGTGTTAAACTTGACGGTGAAAACAGGGGTTGATCAGAGCAATGAGATCTTGAATAAAGGAGTATCAAGATGACTCAAACATGCATGAATGACTCACAAATATTTCATAGGACTTTTATATGAATTCCCCTGGACTTTTTTTTTCTGATTACAAGTCCCTAAGTTTCATTTTTAGTGAGCTATGCTTTAAATTTGACATGGACATTGTCAAGAAAACAACACATGGTCAGTCTGCTGTCTGTCACATCTGCCTCAGGGACACCAGCTGTACCTATTCTTATATTTAGCTGAAATAATTCAAGTGGAAATTGAAATCTGACTTTCCTCTGTGTAGAGCTTGTTCCCACTTTACGGTGCATTGTGTAACTTTTCCAGTGGAGGGTCCGTCAAACGCTTTTCTACATCTTGCTTCATCTGGAATGTTTCACAGTAACCAGACCAAGTTACAGGTCAGATCTGTGGAGTCAGAATGTCTATTTTTCTAGGTATTTCTAAGCTATAAAACTACCTGTAACTGAGTAAATGTACAGTAGAGCTGTTTAACGTCATACTGTGGAAAATTCCAGGCAGAGAAATGACATATCCATAGAAACAAGCAGGTGACAGACCACCCAACTGAAAAGTTACACAGTGCACCTTTAAGAGGCTTAGATGAGAAGGAGAAACAGCTATAGCATGGTTAAAAGCTCCAAAAATGTCGATTTGCATAATGAGACTGCTTTAATTTGAATTTTTCTTGCTTAAATGTTCAGGGAGAAAGACGGTCTTTAAGATGTAACAATATGTAAATCACACCGTATGATACAATTACAATATGCATTTCACGATTCGATATTATTGTGATATTGTGGAGATGCTACAGAATTGAAGAAATGCTACTTTTTTCTTTTAAAAAGCCTTGACTTGGGGCTGTATTAATGTCACAGTTCAAGGAATTGAGATAGAAAAGTTTTTTTTTGTTGTCTTCAGTGAGAATCTCTTTATAACAGTTATTTCTTCATGTTTTCTGTACTGAAATGGAACAAAAGATCACGGTTTGTGTAGTTTCCTCATTTTTTTTGGTGTTGCTGCAATAAAACAATGCATTTAAACACAGAAGCTTATAATTCGATATACTGTCACAGCCCACGATATTATATAGAACTCTGACTGTATGATATCACAATATTTCGATTATTGTTACATCCCTCGTATTCACACACGAGACTTAATCTGTATTACCACTATGCAGTCATTTGCTTGTCTCCATCACATGTTAACGACTCCCCCCTCAGGCTCTCCCATGGTTTATTCACATCACATCTGACACACTGAATAATAGATAGTACGCAGGGCTTTTAAGGCTGCTCTTGTCTCTGTCTTAGTCTTTGAAGAGGATTAAGCGCTCAGATCGACGGGGGGCAGAGTCTGTGACAGAAGAGAAATTCACCATTTTGTTCGAGTCGCAGTTCAGTATCGGCGGAAACGAGCTGGTGTTCCAGGTCAAGGTAACTATTCACTTGAGATAATACGCAATATCCGAGAATAATAAAGTGGAAATTGAGTGTTTTGTGTTTGACAGTGTGCGTTCTCTCTTTTGTTGTTTTTTTGCTCACTAGTTTTCTGATCGTTGAACTTTCAGGAATCATACGCTGCCTTTTACAAATGCTGACCGTGACACACTTCCAGTCAAAAGTTTGGACACTCTACTCATTCTGTGTTTTTTATCTTTAAAGGTGCACTTCGCAATATTTCTAGTGGAGGGTCCGCCACCAGCTTGTCTCCATGGAAATGTTATTGCTTTGTCCAGAATGTTTCACAATATACTGAAGATTAAACCTATCTATCGTGAGGAAGATAAGCAGGGTTTATTACATTTAAAGTGCTTATCATTTTGACTTAATTCAGTTGAATAAAAACTTTTGAAAATATAAATTATAGTTTTACACCAATCAAGACGCAATTTGGTATTACAGGAAATAGAGAGTTATATTTTAGGCCCCGTCCACACTAGTACGTATTCGAGTCATTTTCATTGTGGATGCAGTGTTCATCCACACTAATCCGATGGAAAAAGGCTCCAGAGACGGAATGATCTGGTGCCGCCTGATCCGGCACTGTGTGGATGCCTGAAAACACAGATACTCTGATGTAGGTCTATGTGCCACGAAGTAATTCACTGTCAAAACGCTAATATATATCCATTCATATCAACGGTCTATGTGTACGACCTGCAGATGTATAATCTCTGAAAAGTTTAACATGAATCATCTCCAACACGATGGAAGCACAGAACAGACTCACCATCAGCAGAACACTTCTCTGTCACAGAAAGAACACATATAATCCACTGATCCGTGTCCTTTAGTCCAGGGGTGGGCAAACTTTTTGGCTCGCGGGCCACATAGGGTCCTAAAATTTGACTGAAGGGCCGGACAGAAGACAGGACATAACGTGTTAAGAGCTCAGCTTCATTACATTCGTATTTACGCTTATGTAGGACGGGCACTATGCGCTACAACATTGCCTACGCAAGATTCAGACACAAACACATAAAAGTGTACAGATCTGTTCCACTGCATACCACAGGCGAATGAGCCAATGAGACAGCTCAAAAACAGAGCTCACGCCACAAAGTCAAACACGTACACATCTGCGCGTGCAGTAAAACCAGACTGTAACACATTCCGTGCATCAAGAATTACAACATAGACTCTATACGTCTTCCACATTTGATGTTTGCCAAATTAAAACGGAAGCAGTGCAGCCTCATGTATTGAACACTTCTACTTCACTCATGGTCCCAATAACTCCTGTAAGAACACTTTCCCATAAAGCATTGCGGCCAACATAATATGCCGCACCTCAATGTATATATAGTGCGCCATCTACTGGGAAACACCGGAAATGCATGAAACATCAACAAGGTTTATTATTGTAATTTATTCAAGTTCAGCGAGCCAGATTAAAAGGTTTAAAGGGCCGAATACAGCCCCCAGGCCGTAGTTTGCCCACCCCTGCTTTAGTCCAACTGAAGCTGAACTGCATCAGAGCACAATAGCAAACTGTTTTTTGAGCACTTAGTTTATGCAAATTAGCCATGCAGTTTTAAGTTTTGTTTCTGTAAAACATAAACACATATGCTCAAAGCTGTGAGGATAGGGAAGACTTGTGGACACAAAGGACGTGTCTGGACGCAAATCATTTCCGATACAGTAATTTGTATCAGTGTCAACATAGCCTTAGATAGCTCCGTCGTTCAGCACAATATAAAAATAAAGGCGCTTTCATATAATTTTCTGTCAGATATTAATTCCTGTGTACATTAGAGGAGTTTTGGACCAGTGTACTACATGGTTGCTAGGTAATGTCATGTCAAGTCATGGGATTCCTTAGTGTGATGATCTCCAACTAGGAAGTAAAATTTGTAACCTGAAAAACCTTCAACATAATCTTAAATATGAGAAAAATGAGTGGTCAAACCTGTCACTTTAAGATTGAAAATAGCTACCCTTTGCGTTGTCTACATCTCTACAAACCCTTGGCCTTCTTTCAATGATTTTTATGATGAAGTCTTCTGTAATGGTTTTCACTTCACAGATGAACGCCAAATGTCCAAAGCGGTGATTGAAGTAAACAACCCGGCTATTAAAAACAGATTTGGAGTTTTTTCCGTATGTGTTCGTTCATAGTTTTGATATCTTCATTGAGAACTACTATGTAAATAATCGTAGAAAGGCCAGGCGAGTTTATTTGCATGGCCCAATTCGTACACAAAGTAATTCAAAGTAGTTTATAAAATAAGGAAGAAAATCACAGCACAAACGAATCAAAACATAAACATCAGAAAATTCACTTTAAAAGAGAAGAGTGCAGAAGAATAGAGAAATAACGCAGATAAAAATGCAAACGAGGGTCCAAACTTTCGACTGGTTGTATATATGATTGAAATATATACTTCAATTCTTGGGAGTTCCAAGGAGCAAATTAAAGATTCACTGTGTAACTTTTCAGTAGGGAGTCCATCACATTCTTGTTTCTATTGAAATGTTCTCAGCTTGGAATGTTCCACAGTATGACATTAAACAGCTCTACCTTACATTTATTCAACTACAGGTGGTTTTATAGCTCAACATTCTGACTGTGAGCGGGGTCGCCTCTCCACAGATCTGACCTGTAAACTGGTTTAGATTGATCTCCATGATGAAAGGTTTAATGCCATACTGTGAAACATTTCAGACATATCTCCATGGAGAAAAACATTTGACGGACCCACCAGAAAAGTTACACAATTAACGTTTTTCAAATTTGAGTTTTACGTCAACCGAATGTCAATCTGGAAAAGGGACTTTCCAATCCCAAATCACTGAAGATGGTTCCGAAAATGTCCATGAATTACTGCTGGGGAACTTCAGAAATTAGACAAAAATTGCAAAATCAAATTAGTTAAATTTTTATAAATTTCTGCCAGTTTTAATTTAGGGCCTGCGTAGTGTAATTTTTTATATCCAAAAGTAAGAATGGATGCATTGAATTGTCAAATTTGTAGGGATGGGACAAGATCTTACGCCACAATTTCCCGTGGGACAAAATTACATACATGAGTAAAAGCATCTTGTGAGATTATTTTCTCCTTTTTTTTAACATTTGGATTGGGGTTAAGTGTTGGCAAGTTACATTTCAAGAGATCTTTAAATTCAAAAGTACTACAGTGACAGCAAAATATGAAAAAAAGGTGAGGTCGAAATTGAGCTGTACATTATTTACAACAAATAATCTCAAAATATCATCTTGTCTCGTTCTCGTGGACCCAGTCTCGTGTCTCGTCTTAAAGAAACCGTCTCGTCCCAGCCCTTCAAACATGTCCTTATTTTTCATCGTATTTTACAGTATCATCCATATATACTGTCCCTCTCGTTTACATCCTCCTCTTGTCTTTTCTGTTTTTTTCCATAGACGCTTTCTCTGCCTGTGGTGGTGATTGTTCACGGCAGCCAAGACAACAACGCCACGGCAACAGTGCTCTGGGACAATGCCTTTGCCGAGCCGGTAAGACGCTGTTTGTGTATCTGCATCTGTAAAGTGTGCTTTAGTATACAGCCATGTGTACTAGATGGATGTGACTGGTTAACGTAAATTATATTAGAAATCTGTTACACATAAGTCGTGTTGTCTTACAGGAGCATTCTGTAACTTTTTGGTCGCTTGTTTCTATGCATATGTCGTTTTACTGCCTTGAATGTTCCACAGTACGATATTAAACAGCTCTACCATACATCAGAGTCCTGTCCGGGTCAGTTTTTGGAGACTGCACAGTACAGCATCGCAACCGCCTGTAAACCTGAGATTTTATCAAAGTTAAACCCGCACCCGCAGAGTACGAATTGAAAAGTTATGACTTGAAATGAAACAAAACGGTTACGCTTTCTTCATTGCGAATCACACAGATGCGACGCGACTGTCATCACTTCTCAGGCTTTATTTACTGAGCAGAAGAAAAATTTATCGAGATGCTGGAATTTTGCGCCGCACACACCACAGACTGAACCAAGACTAACCCAGGGCTGATTCCAGGACAGAACCAGGAGGACTAAACCAGGACTAAGCCAGAAGTGAATCAGGACTCACTGTCGGGACTGGCTTGAAGGTGCACCTATGTAGACTGTCGGGTGACCACAGGCGAAAGGACAGGAGCAGATCTCTGCGCGCACAGATCTACATGTGCATGTGCTTTCTCTTTCGTTGGGGTTCTCTCTCTCCAAGATTAGTCCTGGTGTAGTCTTGGTTTAGTACTGATTTAGTCCTGACCCACCTGTGTGTAATCACTACCTGCCCGCATAACACCCCGCAAAATTCCAGAACGTTAAAACCTGCCCGTTTCAGCAACTATACCCGACCCGGTGCAGGACTCTGCCTTACATTTATTCAATTACAGCTGGTTTTATAGCTCAAAAATGCCTAGAAAAACAGGCTTTCTGACGGCCCCTCCACTGATCTGACCTGTAACTTGGTCTGGTTTGGTCTTCATGAGGGTAGAAAAGTACTGTGAAACATTCCAGACAAAGCAATACCACCTCCATAGAGAAAAGCTTTTGACAGACCCTCCACCAGAAAAGTTACTGGGTGTTTTTAAAATAACACCACCTGTAATTGAATAAATATCTAGTAGAACAGTTTAATGTCACACTGTGGAACATTCCAGGCAGAGAAATACATATAAACAAGCAGATGACTGACCCTCAACCAGAAAGGTTACACAATGCTCCTTCAAGAAGCTGGGCAAAACAGCTTTAGGACAGATATTAGTTTTATTTTTACTCTTTTCGCAAATTTTTACAAATGTTATTTTTTCAATCAAAACGAGAAAATTTTGCAGATCTCATCACTGTAATTTGTCATTTAGTCTCGTCTAGATTTGAGCCTTTTTTCTTTTGTTGTTGTTTGTTGTTTGTGAGCAGCACATTAGAATAACGATCACTCTGAGCGAAAGACTGAATCAGTGGACTCATTCTTCATTGTTGATAAAAAAGAAACACACCAAAATCCTTCAGAACTTATGTAACTAATGTAATTGTATTGAAATGACTACAATTAAATCATGTTATTAAATAGAGAGATTAAAAACAACCTTTCGAGATAAACTAACCCAATGAACAAATGTTGTGTAATGTAAAAGTATTTGCTTAGTATGAAATTAAAAAGCTATTTTCTGATCTATGTTACAATGCTGTTTCCTCATCACAAACATACCTGGAGTTGTGTTGTGTTTTGTTTCATTCACACATTTCGTTCTTCTCAAACAGAAAACGCGCTGTTCCACCTTGTGATGTCATGTGGTAATGCAGGAAGTGCGCCATTGTGTTTTTAAACTCCATACACCTTCTCCTGAATCATTTGGATGATTTCAGCTCTGGAATTGCCCATCTCTTCTGAACTTAAAGTAAAAGGTAGAAGTTAACTTGAAAACTGCCACTTCATGACATCACAAGTTGGACCAGAGCATTTTGAGATTTGGACTAATAATAAAGCATTACTCAAACATGTATGAATGAAACAAAACACAACTGAAGGCATGTTTTTGAGGAAATAACAGCATTCTAACGTGGGTTAAAGTTCACAAGAATCCATTTTGTGTAATATAAGACCTTTAACAATAGAGATCATTTAAATGTTTTTAAAAAAGACAATTGTATAAACAGATTTGAACACACACAACTGAACCATACTAGTCAACTGCTCCAATTTTTTGTTTTAGTATTGGTTCATCTGTGTCTATAAATAGTTGTTAAGCCAATCAGAAATAACTCTAGCTGACTATAGTATCACAACCAATAAATTTAATTACTGACCTCAGAGACTCACTGTGCCATGTGACCATATTATGGAAATTATCCCTTTGGAGCCTCTTCTCTGCAGTAACTCAATCCAGCTACTTTTAAAGGTCGTATATTACACAAAATGGAATCTTGTGAGCTGTAATGCACGTTATAATGTTGTTACCTCCTCAAAAATCATTCGCACATGTTTGAGTATTCCTGGTTAGGGTTAGGGTCTGTCTACATCTCCAAAGCTCTAAATGCTATGTTCCACCTTGTGATGTCATGAAAATCTGGGTATCATTCGTTCATTCGTTTTGCAAAATAAAATCACAAATAAGAAAATGAAAAAACAACAATTTTCTCTACTGAATAATGAAAAAAAAAAAAATGATATCAGACATTTCCTATTTCCTTGACTTCCATGAAACTGAAATGCCAGACTTTTGCGCCGCATAATGACTGAACCAGGACTAAAACAGGACTGATTCCAGGACTGACCCAGGACTGACCCAGGGCTGAATCAGGACTGATCCCAGGACTGATCCCAGGACTGATCCCAGGACTGAACCAGGACTAAACCAGGACTGATTACAAGACTAAACCAGGACTGATTACAGGACTAAACCAGGACTGATCCCAGGACTGATCCCAGGACTGAACCAGGACTAAACCAGGACTAAACCAGGACTGATTACAAGACTAAACCAGGACTGATCCCTGGACTGATCCCAGGACTGAACCCAGGACTGATTACAAGACTAAACCAGGACTGATTACAAGACTAAACCAGGACTGATTACAGGACTAAACCAGGACTGATCCCAGGACTGATCCCAGGACTGAACCAGGATTAAACCAGGACTGATCCCAGGACTGATCCCAGGACTGAACCAGGACTAAACCAGGACTGATCCCAGGACTGATCCCAGGACTGAACCAGGATTAAACCAGGATTAAACCAGGACTGATCCCAGGACTAAAACAGGAATACAACAAATAATGAAAAAAATAGTTGTTTTTTTTTCATTCTCTTATTTTTGGTTTTATTTTGAAAAATGAATGAACGCATGATACACAGATTCATGAAGTGATAGTTTTCAAGTTGACTGCTACCTTTTACCTTTAGTACAGCAGATATTGCCAATTCCAGGTCTGAAATCATCCAAATAATTCTAGTGAACATGTATGGAGTTTAAAAACACAATGGAGCACTTCCTGTATTAACACATGACATCACAAGGTGGAAGAGAGAGAGTCTGTATAGAATAACTCAGCCTAAATATGCAGGATGTGTGTGTAAAACATGTGTGAATGGAACAAAACACAACTCCAGGTCTGTTTGCGATGAGGAAACATTATAACATAAATCAGAAAATAGCGTAATATGGACCCTTTAAACCATCCACAAGTCAACATTTTTATTACGCGTTTTTATTAAGTGTTTACCAGTTTACCAGGATTCTCTTGAGTTTGTGAATACTTTTTGCGGTACAAGGTTAGGACACGTCTGCAGCCCTGAAAATCTAACAATCAGTCAATTCAACCACTTGGCCATGCACTGCTTTTGCACTACTAGATTAGAACCTGAAAAAAGAGATATGTAAAGGTGCACTGTGTAACTTTTTGGTGGGGCGTCATCACCTGTTTGTTTCTGGAATATTCCACAGTATGACATTAGACAGCTCTACCTGACATTTATCTAATTACAGGTGGTTTTATAGCTCAAAAACCTAGAAAAACAAACATTCTGACTGTGAGCGAGGTTGCCACTCCACAGATCTGACTTGTAACTTGTATTGTTTGGTCTCCATGAGGATCTAAAGGTGGAGAAAATCTTTTGACAAACCCTGCACCAGAAAAGTCACACAAAGCACCTTTAAATAAATAAACATACAATGTGATTTTATAGCCCTGTCACTTTTGAATAGAGCTGATTTAAGGTAATTGTAAATGACATACATTTTTCACATGGCAGATTTATTTTCAACTAAATGAAAAAGGCTGACAAAGAGCTCAAAAGCACAATGCACACTCTGAAAATACAGCGTCTGTAGTAGCCTTATACAAATAAAGACTTTTAATCACAACCTTGGACTTATTTGATCTCATTTTCAGTCGGCTTGAAAATAGCTCCCTGCTCTGTAACTATAAAGAAACATTCACCACTTGCCACCAGAGACGTCAAAAGTATTAAAAATCAGATGCTTTTCTATTCTAAAACTGATATCAACACTAGATAATAGGGATGTAACGATATTCAAATCTCGCGGTACGATATTTATTGCGATATTTTGCAGAGGCTAATATAATTGTAGATGGATTGTAGATGTTTTTGCTTTTAAAATACCTTGACAAGGTTTTGGTGTGAATTATTACTGTCACAATCCCAAGAATTCAAGTAAAAAACATATCTCTTCTTGTTGTCTGCACTGAAATGAATCATGGGATATGTAGTTTCCAAATATTTATTATCTATTGCTACTATAAAACCATGCATTTAAGCAAAGGAACTTGTGATTTGATATATTGTGACAGCCTACGATATTATTGAGACTTTTGACGATACGATATCACAATATTTCGGTTGTTGTTACATCCCTACTAGATAAGCATTTGACTGGGTTTTGATACTAAACAAGTTTGTCCTTTAAACACTTTTTTCAAGTTTAGTAATATTAGAGACATTCATTTTTCCATAATGGGCATTCAATATTTGTTACTTAACTCTATTAGTACTATTTTAAATGTTCTGTATGATGCAAAATTGATCCCTGTGAGCTTTAAGCCATGCTAGAATGTTCATCAAAACCACATCAAAAACATACCTGGAGTTGTGTTTTGTTTCATTCACACATTTCGTTCACCCTTTATTATTTGTCTGTCAACACCTCCAAAGCTCAAAATGCTCCTGTTCCACCTTGTGATGTCATGAAGAGGTAGTTTTCAAGTTAACAACTACCTTTTTTAAGTTTAGTTCCGTAGAGATTGGCAATTCCAGGGGTAAAATTATCCAAAGTATTCTAGTGAAGGTGTACGGAGTTTAAAAACACAGTGGAGCACTTCCTGTATCACCACATGACATCAGAAGCTGGAGTGTTTTCCTTTTGTGAGAATGATATATGGATTTATCTGTTTATCTCTTCATCTGTACATTCATCTTTTACCAACACCCAGTGAGACTCAGTAAGATCTTGATGGTTTTGTTTTGCAAGTAAACAATTAGATAGAGAGATATTAGAAAATGTTGTAACATGGGTTTGTTAACTCTCATCTTGTTCTCCTCTCTTCTCTCTGTCCATTTTCAGGGCCGTGTGCCTTTTTTAGTCCCTGATAAAGTCCTGTGGCCGCAGTTGTGTGAAGCCATCAACATCAAGTACAAGTCTGAGGTCCAGTCCAACCGCGGCCTGTCTGAGGAGAACCTGGTGTTTCTGGCCCAAAAAGCCTTCAGCAGCTCCAGCAACAACCCCGAGGACTACCGCAGCATGACTATGACCTGGTCCCAGTTCAACAGGGTCAGAGCACACACACACACACACACACACACACACACACACATACATACACTTTTAAACCTTCAAACAGACCAAACACCATAATGGAAATGTGACTTTTGGAACACGACAGATGTGTAACACTTATTTTTTAATCTATATTTAAATCTGTGTTTTATGCAGGAGAGTTTACCAGGCAGAAACTTCACATTCTGGCAGTGGTTTGATGGAGTCATGGAGCTCACCAAAAAACATCTCAAGCCCCATTGGAACGACGGGTGAGATCATGCAGAATTTATAATGTCTCTATTTGTTATCTATTTATCAAACACACATGAAAAACATACCAGGAATTGTGTTTTGTTTCATTCACACACACCCTTTATTATTCGTCTGTTTACATCTACAAAGATCAAAATGCTCTGTTCCACCTTGTGATGTCATGAAGCGGTAGTTTTCATGTTAACATTTTTTACCTTTTACCTTTTTTTTTAGTAGAGCTTTGCAATTCCAGGGCTAAAATTATCCAAATGATTTTAGTGAAGGTGTATGGAGTTTAAAACACAGTGGAGCACTTCCTGTATTACCACATGACATCACAAGGTGGAACAGGTGGACCAGAGTGTTTGAGAGAACTCAGCCTAAATTATATATGCATTTATCTATCCAGCTGTCTGCCTATGTATTTCTCTCCATCCATTCATCTTTGAACATGTCCCGAGGAGACCCAGTAAGACCTTGGTGGATTTGTTTTGTAGATTTAGTGATTACATCATTTCCATTGGCCCATTTTTTTTTTTAAACTGATGTACTCATTAAGACTGAAAAGGACCAGGCTGTTTTATATCTGAACAAATCCCTTTTTCATATACTTTTCTGATTAGTTCTACATGTTCTACATTTTGTATTACAGTTAAATTAAATTTTTTGCAACTTTTTTCTTTTTCTTTTCTTTTTTTCATTTTGCTGTTTCAACCCAGTAAGTTCCCCATTATGGGACAAGTAAATGGGATAAGATATTAAAAATATATATATTTTGAATAAAATAATATTGATCTCGTACTTTTCATGTTGGATGCGGTGGTGTCAACAATGACCTCATCATTAAAAAACATTAAATATTATAATGCTGTCATTAAAACATTAAAATCCTGCACTTGTTTCCTTTAGAGCGATTCTGGGCTTTGTGAACAAGCAGCAGGCTCAGGACATGCTCATGTCCAAACCCAACGGCACCTTCCTGCTGCGCTTCAGTGACTCTGAGATCGGAGGAATCACCATCGCCTGGCTCGCCGAAAAACCAGGTGCACACTCAACACATCTGATCTAATACAGGAGCAACACTTTGTTTGTTTTTGTCATTGAGTTTTATGCTGTTTTCCACATGTTCATACTTTCTGCGAATTTACTTCTGTTTACTTCATAATTCACCCCAAACATGTACTATGAGTCCATCCAAACTTAATTCTGTGACAACGAGCATCAAGCAGATAGAGAGCTGTGAAAACATGCACATCCATGGTGTTCTTTTCTTTCACATGTGGCTGAATACACCATGAGGACTGTACAACACCCAGACAGAGACAGACTCACCTGTACAGACAGAGACAGAGACAGACTCACCTGCACAGACAGAGACAGAGACAGACTCACCTGCACAGACAGAGACAGAGACAGACTCACCTGCACAGACAGAGACAGAGACAGACTCACCTGCACAGACAGAGACAGAGACAGACTCACCTGCACAGACAGAGACAGAGACAGACTCACCTGCACAGACAGAGACAGAGACAGACTCACCTGCACAGACAGAGACAGAGACAGACTCACCTGCACAGACAGAGACAGAGACAGACTCACCTGCACAGACAGCGGCAGGAGGAGACATGTCTTATTGAAGTTGATCCAAATGATGCCAAATTAACTTTTCAAACACATAGACTGTATATAAATGGACATAGGTAATGCACTAGCCGCTGCATTCTAAATAGGAAGTGAGCATGTGGGCTCTTCCGACTCTTTCTGACTCTGGCTGTCCTTCAAAAAAGCTTCATTTGACTTCAACTGAACACTGTGGGTGACATCACACTCGCTTAGTCTTTTTTTATACAGTCTATGGTCAAACAGCAGCTCTGTAGCGCCTGTTCAAACAAATATGTGATCTCCACTGTCTTTATTTTATCCCATTCCAAACTCTGTTGTTTGTTGTGTTGTTTGTTGCGTGTCGTGTGTTGTGCATTGTGACTGGCTAGTGGTGGTCAGAAGAAGACAGTGGTGCAGTTTCACAGACATGTTTTTGTCAGTTGAATTTATCTATCTCCATTACTCCACTACCCAGTAAAAAAAGCAGGTAGCAGGCACACCAAAACTTTGAATCCTGTATTGTGCTGTATTGTCCTGACAGGAGAGAGGACAGTGTGGAACCTTATGCCGTTCACAACAAAAGATTTCACAATTCGATCTCTGGCCGACCGCATCAGCGACCTCAACCACCTGCTGTTCCTCTACCCCGACCGCTCTAAAGACGAGGTGTTCTCCAAGTACTACACCCCGCCCCTCTGTAAGACCTCCATCACACTTTTTAAAATAAACTACCGTACTACTTTTAACTTTCAAAATAAAAGTTTACAGTGTTGGTTGATCTATTTCTCTGTGTGTTTTTTTTTCTAAAAGCCAAAGCGGTGGATGGCTACGTGAAACCACAAATCAAACAAGTTGTGCCAGAGTAAGTCACTTTTTTTTGTTTTCTAGTTATGTTCTTATTCAGATTTTCATGACACAATCCTGTTTGGAAACTGTTAGGATCACACATCTAAACTAATCCAGACATTGAAAAAAGACTATACTGTATTTAACAGGGATTAAACTAGTCCTAAACCTGGACACTAGACACTAGGTCACTAGATCTAAACTAGACATTTTACCAGGACTAAGCAGGACTAAACTGGAACTAAACCAGGACTAAACCAGGACTAAACCAGGACTAAACCAGCACTAAACCAGAACTAAACCTGGACTAAATAAAGACAAATCAGGATTTATACTGGACTAACCTAGCCCTAAACCCAAATCTTCACAAGATCTAAACTAAACATTTTACTAGGACTAAACCAGGCCTAAACCAAGAATAAACCAGGACTAAACCAGGCCTAAACCAGGACTAAACCTGGGCTAAACCTGGGCTAAACCAGGATTAAACCAGGACTAAACCTGGACTAAATAAAGACAAATCAAGATTTATAGATGACTAACCTAGGCCTAAACCCAAATCTTCACAAGATCTAAACTAGACATTTTACCAGAACTAAACCAGGACTAAACCCAGGCTAAACCGGGATTAAACCAGGAGTAAACTGGGACTAAACCAGATTTAAATCAGAATTAAACCTGGACTAAACCTGGACTAAACCTGGACTAAATAAAGACAAATCATGATTGATGCTAGACTAACATAATAATAAAAAATAGAAATAAAAATAAAAATAAAGACAAATCAAGATTTGATCTAGATCTAAACCAGACATTTTACCAGGACTAAACCAGGACTAAACCAGGACAAAACCTACCTTATTGAATCCTGTCCACTCAAAGCATCTCAGTCCCATTATTTCCTGGCCCCGCTGTGCTCTGTGTGGTTAGCCTGTACTCATTATTACCTTTACATGAATTCACAGTAGCAGTGACTGAATTCGGATTAGCCATTACATCTGGACTCGGCCAATTAGAGTGTCCCTGGTGGCGTCCCCCGTCTGCACACATCACTGGAGTTAGCCTGGTTAGCGAGCTAATCTAGCCTCCTGCCTGGCCCAGCAGTCGGTCCACAGCCTCTATGAAGGAGGCTGTTTGGATCTTAAACGCTCTGTGCCGCATTTTACAGTCTTCAACACGTGAAAAACTCAACCAGAACTAAACCAAGACTAAAACAAGACTAAACCAGGACTAAACCAAGACTAAACCAAGACTAAAGACTAAACCAAGACTAAACCATGACTAAACCATGACTAAACCAGGACTAAACCAAGGACTAAAACCAAGACTAAACCAAGACTAAACCAAGACTAAACCAAGACTAAACCAAGACTAAACCAGGACTAAACCAGGACTAAACCAAGACTAAAACCCAAGGACTAAACCAAGACTAAACCAAACTAAACCAAGACTAAACCAGACTAAACCAAGACTAAACCAAGACTAAACCAAGACTAAACCAAGACTAAACCAAGACTAAACCCAGACTAAACCAAGACTAAACCAAGACTAAACCAAGACTAAACCAAGACTAAACCAAGACTAAACCAAGACTAAACCAGACTAAACCAAGACTAAACCATAAACCAAGACTAAACCAAGACTAAACCAAGATAAACCAGACTAAACCATGACTAAACCAACTAAACCAAGACTAAACCAAGACTAAACCACTAAACAAGACTAAACCAGACTAAACCTAAACCATAAACCAGGACTAAACCATAAACCAAGACTAAACCATAAACCAAGACTTAAAAACTTAAACGGACTAAACCACCTGGACTAAACCAAGACTGGACTAAACCAAGACTAAACCAATGGACTAAACCAGGACTAAAGAAAACCAAGACTAAACCAAGACTAAACCAAGACTAAACCTGGACTAAACCACTAAACCAGGACTAAACTAAACCTGGACTAAACCTGGACATAACCTGGACTAAACCTGGACTAAACCTGGACTAACCTGGACTAAACCTGGACATAACCTGGACTAAACCTGGACATAACCTGGACTAAACCTGGACTAAATCTGGACTAAACCTGGACATAACCTGGACTAAACCTGGACTGAACCAAGACTAAACCAAGACTAAATCTGGACTAAACCTGGACATAACCTGGACTAAACCTGGACATAAACCTGGACATAACCTGGACATAACCTGGACTAAACCTGGACTGAACCAAGACTAAACCAAGACTAAATCTGGACATAACCTGGACATAACCTGGACTAAACCTGGACATAACCTGGACTAAACCTGGACTAAACCTGGACTAAACCTGACTATAACCTGGACTAAACCTGGACTAAACCTGGACTAAACCTGGACTAAACCTGGACTAAACCTGGACTAAACCGATCTCTACTGAACTAAAGGTATAAGTAGCTATTAAACTGAAAACTACCGCTTCGTGACATCACCAGGTGCAACAGAGCATTTTGAGCTCTGGAGATGCCAACAGACTAATAATTAAGAGTTACTCAAACGTGTGTGAATGAAACAAAACTTTTTACTACTTAACTTTTTTTTTGGTGTGTTTTCACAGCTTTGCCACTGCTAACCCAGACCCATCCGGACTGAACCAGACTTACATGGACCACGGCGCGTCCCCAGCTCCTGTCAGTCACCAGCACGCCTATGGAATCTACCCACCTATGTGAGTCTTTTACTACCAACACGCAACATTCACACTCTTTCCTCTGCTTTGGTCCTGCTCTTTTCTCACACGGGAGTAGTAGTCCACTTTTAGACCTGGTTTAGCCCTAGATTAGACCTGGAATAGTTCAGTTATAGACCTGGTTTAGATCTGATAGTACTCGGGAAACCTGATCTTTTCTTTGATGGTGGTTCTTTATGTGAAAAGCAAATTATTTTAAAACATTTTATCAAGTAATTAGTTCATTTGTTTCATTTCACGCTCCTTTCACCTTTTGTGCAGTAATGTAATTGGAAAAACTGTTTTAAATGAGAACACATAAATTCTACATCTAAACAAATAAAGACATTTAAAAAACGGTACATTTATTCAGGATTAACCCTGATCTAAAAATGGACTAAACCTGATGTAAGCCTGGACTAAACCTGGTCTAAACCAGGACTAAAAATGGACTAAAACTGATGTAAGCCTGGACTAAACCTGGTCTAAACCTGGACTAAAACTGGACTAAACCTGATGTAAACCTGGAATAAACCTGGACTAAACCTGGACTAAGCCTGGACTAAACCTGGTCTAAACCAGGACTAAAAATGGACTAAAACTGATGTAAGCCTGGACTAAACCTGGTCTAAACCTGGACTAAAACTGGACTAAACTGGACTAAACCTGGAATAAACCTGGAATAAACCTGGACTAAACCTGGTCTAAACCTGGTCTAAACCTGGTCTAAACCTGGTCTAAACCTGGTCTAAACCTGGACTAAACCTGATATAAGCTTGGACTAAACCTGGTTTAAGCCTGGCCTAAACCTGGGCTAAACCTGGGCTAAACCTGGGCTAAACCTGGGCTAAACCTGGTCTAAACCCGGTCCAAACATGGTCCAAACCAGGACTAAACCTGTACTAAACCTGTACTAAACCTGTACTAAACCTGGACTAAACCAGGATTAAACCTGGTCTTAACTTGTTCCAAACGTGGACTAAACCTGTACTAAACCTGTACTAAACCAGGAATAAACCAGGACTAAATCAAGACTAATTCAAGACTAAACCTGGAATAAACCTGGAATAAACTTGGTCTAAACTTGAAATAAACCTGGACTAAATCAGGACTAATTCAAGACTAAACCTGGACTAAATCTGGAATGAACCGGGACTAAACCAGGAGTTTAAAGTATGTATCTATGTGTCTGTCTATGTGTCTCTGTAATGTTCCACCGTAGACTATTAAGCGTTCCATTATCTGTTTCCATGGATACAAGCACATATCCACTTTAAATTACAGGCCATCTATCCATCTTGTATAATAATAATAATAATAATAATAATAATAATAATAATAATAACATATATTCTTTAAAACTTTGCAAAACTCTAGAAAAACTTGCAAATGAAAAGCAAACACAATTTGAAAACCGACTTTCTACTAATTGTGTTATCCATTTTACAATCCTTTCACCTTTTGTGCAAAACTTCAAGTCCTATAATTATGTATTTGGCACATCAGGGTAATTGTAGGTTAGGTATTACATTGAGTTTTCGAATCAGAAAACCTCGAAAACAACACCGTAAAGTTGTTTCCATAGATTTTAACTTATTATTATTCAAATGTTTTTCTAATTCTTTGTCCCCAAGCTACGTCTAAAGCACAGCATATGGCACGTTATAACTGAAATGTGACTGTTAGAGATAATGAGTAGGAGAGGCCGTCCAAGATCCCAATTATTTTTTATTCAGAAAAGTGTGTGGGCTGTTGTTGTGTGAAAGGTGAATAAAACTTCTATGACTTGCAGGTATTTTCGCAGTTACACAAGTTGGACAGAAATGTTAACCTTTCACCAATTATTTAGTTTTCTTTTGTATAACTTGTGTTTAAGATCTGGAATAATGGGAGAACGTTTTGATTATGGATATACTCAGTGTTGGGAAGGTGACTTTTAAAATGTATTCCCCTACAGATTACAGATTACACACATCAAAATGTAATTTGTAATGTAATCCATTAAATTACTGAAGGTGAGTAATGTAATCTGAATACTTTGGATTACTTGATTTGCTGTAGAGAAGCAAAGGCCAGGATATCGTAAGATGTTTTGTCTGCTAAAAGAAAATAAAAAGCCCAGACTTTACTGAACCGTATAAAAAATATTATTGATAGAAGAGGAGGAGACACGGTCCACTCAGCATGGTTTAGTCCTGGTTTAGTCCTGTTAAATCCTGTTTTAGTGCTGATTTAGTCCTGTTTTAGTCCTGTTTTAGCCCTGTTTTAGTCCTGGTTTTAGTCCTGGTTTAGCCCTGGTTTAGTCCCTGGTTTAGTCCTGGTTTAGTCCTGGTTTAGACCTGGTTTAGACCTGGTTTAGACCTGGTTTAGACCTGGTTTAGATCTAGTTTAGATCTGGTTTAGACCTGGTTTAGACCTGGTTTAGACCTGGTTTAGATCTAGTTCAGACCTGGTTTAGATCTAGTTTAGATCTAGTTCAGACCTGGTTTGGACCTGGTTTAGTCCTGGTTTAGTCCTGGTTTAGTCCTGGTTTAGACCTGGTTTAGTCCTGGTTTAGTCCTGGTTTAGTCCTGGTTTAGTCCTGGTTTAGCCCTGGTTTAGCCCTGGTTTAGTCCTGGTTTAGATCTAGTTTAGACCTGGTTTAGTTTCCGGCAATGAGTGGAATTACAAAAAAAAAGAAAAAAAAAAAGTTACTGAAACAGTAACTGTAACCGAATTAGAGTTACTCATAATTTGTACTCTAATTACATAACTCCGGTACATGTAATCTGTTACTCCCCAACACCGGATACACTGTATCTGTGACTGCGAGGCCTTTTCACATGACACAGTATGGTTACCTGACCAGCCTGAACCAACCAAGAAACTTTACAAAGACGAGTGGATCTGAAGCTGTATAACCTTGTACAGCAAGATGGATTCCAGTGTTTCCCACGGCGCTTTATAGTTAAGGCGGTTGCTTTGACAACGAGTGCCCCCCGCCTCCGAACCACATGAATCCTCGCGAAACTATGGTCGTCGCACTTCAACATTTGTGCTTTTATAGACCCAAATGTGTTAAAAAAAACATTCTAAATTCCAGAATGGAGGCAGCTGGAGGCAAAAGTGAAGTGGAACATAATGTGATTTCAGTGGGAAAACTGGGATTATAACAGAATATCACAAAATATGAAACATCAAGGAAGGTTTGACAAATGAAAATCATTCAGATACATGTGAGTGATATCAGAGCTCAGTTTAAAATATCTGAGTTTGCGGGGTTTTTGTCATTATTTAACTTTAAAGGTGCATTGTGTAACTTTTCTGGTGGAGGGTCGTCAAATGTTTTTCTCCATGGACATGATATTGCTTTGGAATGTTTCACTGTATGGTATTAAACCTTTCTATCTTCATGGAGACCAAACTAGACCAAGTTACAGGTCAGATCTGTGGATAGGCGACCCCGCTCACAGTCAGAATGTCTGTGTTTCTGGATTTTTTGACCAATAAAACCACCTGTTATTGAATTCATGTAAAGTAGAGCTGTTTAATGTCATACTGTGGAACATTCCAGGCAAAGCAATATCCATAGAAACAAATAGATGATGAAACCCAACCAAAAAGTTACATAGTGCACCTTTAACAGAGAAGCAAACTAACTAATATTTGAATTGAATAGTTGTTTATATGTCATAAAACCCTTCACATTTGGCAGCATTAACGTAACATATTTAGAGTTTTTGTAACTGCAGAGGCTCAGTGTGTAGGTTCAGACAGCAGATCACAACGACAGAACACAAGGACTATCAGTATTTTAATTGCTCCGTTCTCAAACACATCACCATTTCAGAGACTAAAATCACCATCACCATCTTGGATTTTAGTCTCTGAAATGTTTTCAGTCAGAACTTGGAAAATCCGACCTCCGAGGATGACTTTAACACAACAATGTTCTGGGTCAGCTCTAGTCTATATGGTCATTGTGTCCTTTGGCAAAACATTTCACTCACCTTGCCTAATTATAAATGTGGTGATTGGTGGTAGGTGGTAGGCTTCACTTCCGTCAGTCTGCCTCAGGGCAGCTGTGGCTACAACAGCAGCTTACCAGCACTGAGTACTCCCATGTAAAGTGCTTTGTGTGTGTTGAGTACTAGTGTGTGTGGACTCAGCCTCTTCATGTTGCATTTATTCAGTTATCTGTGTTTTCATTGCTTAGAAATACTCTTACTGTGATCTTACTGTGATCTTACTGTGATCTTACTGTGATCTTACTGTGATCTGGCTCGCCATTCCACAGATCTGACCTGTAATGTGGTGTGGTGGTGTATTTTTTTTTATTATTTATTTTGGTGGACCCTGGAGATGGATAGGTTTAATGCCAAATTGTGTAACTTTCCAGGGAAAGCAATGACATCTCTGTGGAGACGAGCAGGTGGAGATCCTCCACCAGAAATGTTACACACTGCACATCTGAAATGTGATCTAAAGAGCCAGATAAAAAACACTTTACATGTAGGTTCACCACTTTATTTATGTATTTGTCTAGGACAATGGATAAGAATGATCATTATGCTAATTTGCTCATTTGTTTTCTCTTAGCAAATAACACAGTAAACAAATGTAAAACATTTCAAAAGAAATAACACAGAACAGTGTCATTTCATTTAGAATGTTGTTTCCTCATCACCGACACATCTGGACTTGTGTTTTGTTTTATTCTCACACGTTTTGCACAGAAATCCTGCATATTTAGACTAGGTTCTTCTCTCAAACTGAAAACACTTCCACCTTGTGAAGTCATGTGTTAATATGAAAAGTGCTCCACTGTGTTTTTAAACTCCTTCCACCTTTGCTAGAATCAATTGCCCATCTCTGCTAAACAAAAGGTAAAAGGAGCTGTTAACTTGAAAAACTACCACTTCATGACATCACAAAGTGGAATAGAGCATTTTGATCTTTGCAGATGTAGACAGACTAAAAATAAAGGATTACTCAAACTCAAAACATGTGAATGAAACAAAACACAACTCCAGGTATGTTTTAACAAGTTGGCCATATTATAACTTGTTTTAAAGGTCACAGGAGTCAGTTTTGTGTCGTATAAGACTTATAAATTACATTGACTTTCTGATTTTTGCTTTGCTTTAAAAAGATCTACTTTAATTAAATTTCTTATGATTATTCTTTTATTTTTCAGGAGTGACCCGGTCTTGGACGCAGATGGCGATTTCAATCTGGATGACACCATGGACGTCGCTCGCCACGTGGAGGAGTTACTACGGCGACCGGTGGACAGCCAATGGGGCGGCCAGCAATCGTGACCTTTGACATCGTAACCCGCGGCAATCACACCCACCCACCAACCCCCCGCCCTCACCCTTCCGTCCTTCCTCCCATCCTTGCAGCCCCCCAAAACCTGTCCAGCCTCCCACCCCACACTGTTTCATTGCAATGTCCATTTTTATTTCAGATAGCTATAATGTGAAATGTTAATAATGGTTGTAATTTTTTTCTGTTTTTTGACAACAATTTGTGGTCAGACCGACGTGGATAAAACTCAAAGATCCCGTAATGTTACAGACTATTAAACATCACACATGCATGCATTTTGACTGGAAAATATGCAACTATACAAGACATTTAAAAACATTTATTTCCTTGTTTGTTTTTCACTAGCTTAAAGGTTCACTATGTAACTTTTCCCATGGACGGTCTGCCACTTAAGCGCTTTCTTTGCCTGGCATTATATTTATCTATCTTGCATCTATTCAGTTACAGTTGGTGTTATTTCAAAGAAAATAAGAAAAAACATGCGTCCAGCGTGGTCGCCTCTCCACAGATGTGACCTGTCAGTGAGCTTGCTGGCATGGCATCACCTGTTTTAAGAAATACGTTGAATGGAGCATTCCAGGCAAGGCATTAACATGGAAACCATGGAAACAGGTGGTGGATCCTCCTCCAGAAAAAGTTACACAGTGCAACTTTAAAGGGCCCATATTACACTGTTTTCTGATCTATGTTATAATGTTGTTTTCTCATCACAAACAGACCTGGAGTTGTGTTTTGTGTCATGTTTAACTCAAGTATTTAGGCTGAGTTCTTCTCTCAAGCTGAAAACACACTCTTCCACTCTGTGATGTCATGTGGTAATACAAGAAGTGCTCCATTGTGTTTTTTAACTCCACACACCTTCACTAGAATCATTTGGATCATTTCAGCCGTGGAATTTCCAATCTCTACTGAACTAAAAGGAAAACTAGCGCTTCATGAAATCACAAGGTGAAACAGCATTTTGAGTTTTGGTGATGTAGACAGATTAATAATAAAGGATCACCGTATTTTTTGGACTATAAAGCGCACTGGATTATAAGGCGCAATATCTAAAATGTTGAATTCTCTCGTCTATTTTCATACATAAGATGCACCGGATTATAAGGCGCATTAAGTGAAACAAACAGACGACACTTGAGACTGATCCCTTAGTCCAGGCGTCCACAATCCATTGGCAGATCATGACGTAATTCGCCCGGCGTATGTGGATTATGAATGTGAATGTGGGTGGATAATTTAAGTTTGTTTTTTTATTTCCTTCAAGGAGGACTCAAATATACATTGAGTAATAACGTGTTTAATGCAGCTTTGCGCACATTTGTTTACATTTTACAAAAATTAAACTTAAAACCACATGGCTCATTTGCATAAATTATAAGCACTGAAAAAACAGCTCGCTCCTTGTGCACTGATGCGGTCAGCTTCTGTTGGACTAAAGACCATAAATTGGGCTTTACTCCACGAGACTCTTGACTACAGTAGCGTAATGCTCCGACAATCCATCAAACGGTGCGGCTTCGTAGCTTACCAAGTCGTACTAAAACATTTTGACAGATTTTTGAGTGCTGTGTACCACATAATATCAGTTCAAGGTCAGTAAGCACAACCAAGAATTGAATATATAAGGCGCAATGACGATTTTTGAGAAAATTAAGGATTTTAAGTGCACCTTATAGTCCAAAAAATACTGTAATCAAACATGTGAATTAAACAAAACACAACTCCAGGTATGTTTTTGAGGAACAGCGTTATAACATGGCTTAAAGCTCCCAAGAGTCATTTTTGCGTAATATGGGACCTTTAACAATGAACTTACCCACTGACATAAACTCGCTTTTGCTCTTAAATGGCCATTATGAAGTACTGTTAATACTCTATGTACACTAACAAAGAAGTAAAAATACACATCTGTGCGTCATGTATTAGGGTCAGAAGAATTACAATTATGCCATTGTATTTTGAGAAGAAATGTAACTATTTTTGCAGTAATTAATCTTATTTTTTATATATTGGTTTTTCTTACACTAGTGTGGTTAGCAGTTTTTTACGCTGCCTAGATACTTGTAAATGGAGGTGGCTTTGTGGGTGAAGTGTCTTGCTCAGTGACACATCAACAGAAGGGTTACAAACAAGAGAGCTTTGAACTGTGACCCCCTGGTTAACGGGTAAGCGCTTAACCCACTGCACCGGTCTCTCCACGTACATTTTTTTTTTACACATAACTGATCCTAACTACTATTAGTAAAGATAAAAGAGCCTTCCTATGCAGCAACTTGTATTTTTTTAAGCCTTCTTCTCAAAATATAAGTCTTCATTCTTGTAAAGCCGCTGTGTCCCTGTACAATACCGTACTCTGCACATTTTTCCTCATGCAGTAATTCACCAGCACCACCAGAGGGAGCCGATGCACTGTGCGTCTCTCATTGGGCTTTCTGTCAACATACGCAGCTGTGGCCAAACAAGACCACTGCTTCTTTATTTTTGTGAAGTTCTATTTTCAGATTTACTCGTTTTCAAATCTGTTTAAAGTTGAAATATTATGTTGCGTTCATGTGGGGTCAGGATTTTTAAAACAGCTCAAACTCTATTGTGTTTTAAAGGTGTGTTATGTGACTTTTTGTTTTGGGTCCGTCACCTAATTGTTTTTATGGATATGTCATTGTTCCGCCTGGAAGGTTCCACAGTATGACTTTAAACTCTTCTACCTTACATTTATTCAATTACAATTTTTTATAGCTCAAAAATACCTAAAAAAAAATGCATTCTGACTATGAGCGGGGTCGCCTCTCCACAGATCTGACCTGTAACTCGGTCTGGTTTGGTCTCCGTGAAGATAGAAAGTTTTAATGCCATACTGTGAAACATTCCAGACAAAGCAATAATATCTCCACGGATAAAAGCGTTTGACAGACCCTCCACCAGAAAAGTTACACAATGCACCTTTAAATATTTGCTTGTATTCAAAATTATGTTAAAAAAAATCTCAAATTCTGTTACTTTTAAGCCATGTTTTGAACTGGTTTATGGTTAATATCTCTGTAAATACTACATCTATCTATATGAAACAGAAAATTTAAGAAGAGAAATTATTTTTGTCTACTATATTACCTAAAAATTTATGAACAGATTCTTAAAAAACGCTTTAATATTGTTAGTTTTGAACCCAACCACAAAGCAATGAGGTATAACATTTGTGGATTTAAATTTTTTATTTGTTTTTTCATTTCCTTTCTACAATTTGATGTTATAATTTCAAATGGAGGGTTTTATAAATCTACGGGAGATTTACTGTTTTTGAAAGAAATATCCAATCATATGATTCATAAGTATTGAATAATCATAATTTGTTTTTAATGATTGGCTGCACAGACTTTCCATGTTATTCTTATGGGTTAAAGTTCTTTTCAATTGAATAGAATCACATCTTTGCACCATTTTCTGAAGCTATTGTGAAAAAATAACTTCACTTTTGTTTATTTATATTGACAGAGAAGACGCTGAACTCTGAACCAGTTTTTGTTTCGTGTGGATAGGCCCTGAAATTATAGATATTAAAAGGCTCATATTAATCTATTTTCTGATCTACGGTATAATGTTGTTTCCTCGTCAAAAACAAACCTGGAGTTGTGTTTTGTTTCATTCACGCATGTTTAACGCACAAACCCCGCATATTTAGGCTGTATTTAGTTCTTCTCTCAAACTGGAAACACTCAGTTCCACCTTGTGATGTCATGCAGTGATACAGGAAGTGCTCCACTGTGGTTTTAAACTCCATGCACCTTCAGTAGAATCATTTGGATGATTTCAGCCCTGGATTTGACGATCTCTACTGAACTAAAACGTAAAAGGGTAGGTGTTAACTTGAAAACTACCGCTTCATGACATCACAAAGTGGAACAGAGCGTGTAAACAGTGTAAATAGTGAATAGTGAATGAAACAAAACACAACTCCAGGTCTGTTTTTGAGCAGGTAATAACATTCTAACATGACTTAAAGCTCACGAGAATCAATTTTTCGTAATATAAGACCTTTAACCATAAACAAGAGCGACTATTTTAAACTACAAGTACTTCAGAATCTCTTGTTGCCACGTGAACGCAACCTCTCAAACAGCAGCAGTCCTCTTCTGCTTTGTTCGCAGCTAGAAATGCTCCGTTCAGTTTTATTTTTGTACACAGACTCGACTGCACAGCCGTCCGCTTCTTCTCAGGTTCCATTGGGTCCCAGTCATTAACGCTACCTCTCATCCGTAACCAAAAGGTAAAATTATTTACCGCTTCGTAGCCTGGTTCCGTCTCTATCGTCCGCTCTCCTCACAGTACGGTACGTCGCATCGAGATCCTTGTATTTTCGTGTAAAGTAATGAAGAAATATGCTTGCTACCTAATGTATAAAGTCAACGGGCTTATTTTTACGCTTGAAATGACGTTCATTTTGACTATAGGCGACCACTGGCCTCTCCGTCCTTTGTAGCTCCACTTTATGTGAACGAGAAATGACCTTTAAATATAGAAAAAAGTGCTGGATTTTTGCAAAAAAACAAAAAAAAAAAGCTGAGATGATGACAACTGCTAGCCTTGCTCTTAAAATATGCTGTGTAAAATGGAAAAATAAAGGATTACAAATGTGGAAGGTTAACAGTGAATTTTGTAGATTTTCTGGCCGAAGGTCCGTCAAATGCTTTTCTCCATGGAGATTATGATTATTGTTTTGTCTGGAATGTTTCACAGTATGGTATTCAACTTTTCTATCCAAACCAGACCAAGCTACAGGTCAGATCTGTGGAGAGGCGACCCCGCTCACAGTCAGAATACCTGTTTTTTTAAGGTATTTTTGAGCTATAAAACCACCTGTACTTTAATTAGTGTAAGATCTTTTTAATGTCATACTGTGGAACATTCAAGGCAGAGCAGTGACGTATCCATAGAGACAAGCAGATGATGGACACTTGACCAGAAAAGTTACACAATGCACCTTTAAGTTTTTGGTTCAGTTTGAATTGAATGAAAGAAAGTAACGCATTTAAAAATCTTAAAACCATGGCAACAACTACTGAGTTTTTTTGTTTTTCAATAAATTTTCTATGACATCTTTGCATTAAACAGCAGGATGGTACAACGGCAAAGTCTTCAGCCTCACAGCCAGAGGGTTTCAGGTTCAATTCCCAGTACAATATGAGTTTAGAGATAGTATGTTCTTCTTATGAGTGGATGTCTTTTTATATTGTTTTTAATCACTGACAGTCTACTCCTTCAATGGTTTGAGTCTTAAAGGTGCACTATGTAACTTTTCACTACCTGCTTATCACCATGGAGATGTTATTGCTTTGCCTGAAATGTTACACAGTACGGCTTTAACCTTTTCTATCTTGCGTTGTTATTCAATCGCAGTTTTCTTTGCCGAGACGGGTTTAACGCCGCGCTGGCGTTCAAGGCAAATTCCTAACATCTCCATGGAAACGAGCAGTAATATCACAGCGAAAACCCCACCAGAAAAGTTACATAGTGCATCTTTAACTCCAGACATGAGAGAGTTGTTTATAGAGCCAGTGATGGATGAGACAAAACGCAAAAGACAAGTCTGAGAAACCTGAGGGACCTTTGGAGACAAGATTCTGAAGATTTTCAAGATTTAAAGTTCAGATTGAAATGCCTATTATTGTTTATGTAATATTATTACTAAATATTCTGCCTCCACTAGCGTCATATTATGTGTAAAAACCTGCTAACCCTGAAGTGTTTGCTCCCAAATTTGCCCCAAATCAGCCCATTTCACTCATTATCTGCTCATGTTCTCTACTAATGAGATATTTGTGTTTTAAAAGGCCCAATTTGTAAAAACTAAAATGATTCAGGCTTAGTAACTACTGAATTAAGGGGTTCAGAGTTAATTAAAGTGGACCCAAATTATGCAAAATTGTCTTTTCAGAGCTTTTACCCGTGTTATAGTTGTTTCCTCTCGCTGTTTGCTCACCTGAAGTTGTATTTGGAGTGATTCGTGGATGTTTGAGTCATTTTCTGAGTAATCGCTTATTTTCAAGACACCATTTTGCAGAACAACTTCGTTTTTACTTTGTTTTTTCCAGTATTTTTCTTAATTTTCTTAATCTGTGACACTTGTAGGATTTGGTTTGATGTGCAGCTATCCATAAGAGATACTGAGTCTTTATTGTGATGACGTTTTACGACGACGTCAGCTTCCATTGGGCACCTTAGTTTTTTTACGTGGAAATCAGCTGACTCGTTTCTTTCTCGGCTCTATTAAGTCGTTTTAGATGAATATTGAGATTTAAAATGTCCAAATTATAACATAAAGATCCACGGGTGTCATAGATTCTAACTATAGAGCAAACAGAAGCAAAATAGGTCTTCTTTAATGGACTAGTTACAAAGCCTGAATCATCCCTAATCAACAATTTCTTCATATGAATTAAATCTTTGTTCATAGTTTATTAAAGGGACAGTCCGGAATTTTGGACATAGGGCCTCGTTTCCTAGTGAGCCAGAGTGTTGGAGACGTGTGGAGACACTTTTTGAAATATTCCATCCAGTCCTTGTATTTGCAGAGGTCACTGGTGCTAGGCTAGTGCATGTCAATGGCCATAGTTAGCCTGTCACTAAAAAAAAAAGTCTAACCCACTCCACAAAACACCCGAAGCAAAACTATTATTACACCAGACTGTCAATGTAAATGTTTCTGTTGATATTATTCTGTAAAAATTTGAAATAGTTTGAAATGTTTGAAATAAAACTAACCTTGCATCGCATGAATCTTTGCATGTTGAGGGACTATTTTCTCATATATCAGTCCGCAGCTGTCAAGATTTCTATCAGGAAGTACAACTCACTGCTGCTCAGACGTAACTCCTTAAAATGCAAGGTTGGTTTTACTTCTAAAATGATTCTATCAACACAGACATTTACATCGACAGTCTGGTGTAATAATAGATTTGCTTTGGGTGTTTTGTGGAGTGAGTAAGACTGTTTTTAGCAGCAGGCTAACTATGGCCATTGACATGCACTAGCCTAGCACCAGCGACCTCTGCAAATACAAGGACTGGAAGGAATATTTTAAAAAGTGTCTCCACACGTCTCCAACACTCTGGATAACTAGGAAATGAGGTCCAAAATTCCAGACTGTCCCTTTAAGGCTACTTTGAAGGTGCACTGTGTAACTTTTCGGTTGGGTTGTTTCTATGGATACGTCATTGCTCTGCCCGGAATGTTCCACAGTATGACATTAAACAGCTCTGCTTTACATTTATGCAATCACAGGTGGTTTTATAGCTCAAAAATACCTAAAAAAAACCCCAAAACAAAACAGGCATTCTGACTGTGAGCGGGGTCGCCTATTCACAGATCTGACCTGTAACTTGGTCTGGTTTGGTCTCCATGAAGATAAAAAGAAAGGTTTAACACCATACTGTGAAACATCCCGGACAAAGCAATAACACTTCCACGGAAAAAAAAAACATTTGATGGACGCTCCCACCGGAAAAGTTACACAATGTTCAAATACTTTTTTCCATTTTACACAGTATTTTGACTTTTACTGCGAGGGTCTACGTTATACTTGTAATATATGTGGTCTGTATATTCACCAGCTTGAATTTGCCACAGATAAGCACAAAAAGATACTATTATAACTGCCGTCTTGCATCTCAGGAACCAGCCGCTTTGCTTTGCTGCTGTACTTAAGAAGCCAAATAGAAAAAAATATCTAACGATCTATGTAAAATATATGGAATTATTTTGGCTATCATAATTGTATTTTAATATTGCATCACTTGACACTGACTAATGCAAGTAACCTCTTATAGCATGTTTTGCCATTTTCTGGGGTTGCCAGATAGAAGAAGGCACTTGCGATTTCAAAATATTCTTTTCAAATGTCCTTTTTTTGTGTTTTTCGTCAGATTCTCATCCGATTTGACAGCCCTGCATTTCTTCTTTCTTTTTCTTCTTTTTTTTTTTTCCCTGTGTCTTTCGGAGTTTGTCGCTGGCGGTTTCGTGATGTTACCTTCACAGAATATTTTCGTGTATTTTTTTCTGATGTAGTTGGTGCTGTGTGCTGTTCAGTGTATGTATTTCTTGTGCGTTGGAAAATTGTCACTTGGATGAGTTTTTCCAAGAGAATAATTTTGTTGAGATGAAGGGTGAGAAATAAAGTTTTATAAATAACGAATGGATTTGTTTTTATTTTATTATTATTATTAGTATTATTTCAGTTTTAAATGACGCACTGTGGAATTTTTCTAGTGGGTGGGTAGAGACGTTATTGCTTTGCCTAGAATGTTCCACAGTATGGGCCTAAGCGTACCTATCTCCATGGAGACCAACAGACCAAGTTACAGGTCAGATCTGTGGAGAGGCGACCCCGCTCAAAGGTATTTTCAAGGAATTACTTTATCTTTATAGTAGTAGGAAGTGGTAGTGGTAATAGTAGTAGTAGTAGTAGGTAGTAGTAGTAGTAGTAGTAGGTAGTAGTTGGTAGTAAACAGTAGGTAGGTAGTAGTAGTAGTAGTTGTAGTAGTAGGTAGGTAGTTGGATGTAGGAACTAGTAGGTCGTGGTAATAGTAGATAATACTTGATAGTAAACATAGGTTGTATTTGGTAGTAACAGGAGGTAGTAGTAGTAGTAGTAGGTAATACTAGTAGTAGGTAGTCGTGGTAATAGTAGAAGGTAGTGAACAGTAGGTAGTAGTAGTAGTAGTAGTAGTTTGTAGTACTAATAGGTGGTAACAGTAGTAACAGGTAGTAAACAGTAGGTGGTAGTAGTAGTAGGTAGTATAGTAGTTGGTAGTAAACATAGGTTGTATTTGGTAGTAAGAGGATGTAGTAGTGGTAGTAGTAGAAGGTAGTAAACAGTAGGTAGTAGTAGTAGTAGTAGTATGTAGTTGGAGGTAGGAACTAGTAGGTTGTAATAGTGGTAGCAATAGTAGTAGGTGGCAGTAGTAGAAGGTAGTAAATAGTAGTCGGTAGTAGAAGTAGTAGGTAGTATAGTCCGTAGTAACAGTAGTTAGTAGTAGTAGTAGTAGTAGTAGCAGAATTCGAACCAGCAACCTTCATATCAGAGCACAAACACAATCAACTGAGCTGCAAATGTTGCTTTCCACTGTGAATCTTTATTACTGAAGCAGCTCCTCAGTTACTTTCTCGCAGTACTTCACTTCTGCTTTCTACCAACTCCTTATTTTGATCATTTTTACATCTATGAGCAATAATAGAATTTATTCTAACATTATTTCGCCTTGTTTTCGCTCTACACCAGGTATGTCCAAACTATGGCCCGGGGGCCAAATGTGGCCCTCAGACAAATTTTTCTTGGCCCTCAGACTTCCAGGTGAATTGGCCCAAATTACCTTACATCAATTAAAAAATAATGATTTACTGCAAGTTTTTTGAAAATCTACCTTGATAAAGCAAATATGTAATATTTATTGTGTGGTTTTAAGGATCTTAGCGTGAATAAAGACTGATGACTCATTCTAACGTGTTAAACATGCACACATTCAATTATTCCCTGTACTGAGCACCAGTTTACAGCCCTCGATCAGCCCTCTGCTTCATCTGTGTTTAGATATGTGGCCCTTCATGAAAAAAGTTTGGACACCCCTCCTCTACACAGTACACACAGTATATTCTCTAGCTGATTCATTTATGCACATGTGATGAAGGACTCACTGTTTCAGTGAGAGAAGAACCTTTCCCTTTGACTGTTACCTGGAGACGAGAAAAAGCTTTCCATCAATCAGCCA